CGGGCTCCTAAACGATATTGCGTTAAGGCCAAATTGTTTATTGAAATTTTGAATTATTGAAAATTTGAAGATTATTGAATGAAGAACTCACGTGTGCTTAGCCACGGTTGTCTACCATACATTCCTGCTCAAACGCACGTAAATGACATTTATTTTCTTGCACCCGTTTCTAATAGCTTTCCATTTTGCAATATTTTAATAAAATAGTCCTGGCGCAAAGCATCGGCTATAGACTGGATGCACACTTCAATCAAAAAATAAGGGTGGTTGTTGTGACTCGCTTGAAATTGTGAAGTCGACTAACAAAACTTCTTACGAAGCAATGGTGAGTGAGGGTGCAGGCTAGCTGATGTAAATTGAGCGTAGTTGTAAACCCGAGACTGAGGATATGGACAAGGGACAAAACACAGAACGACACGGCCGAAGTCTCAAGTGCAGCTACGACCTTTATTTCACAGGACAAACATATAAGTCGCTCGCCACCCTTTGGTACCCCTCTTTTTCTCTTCCTTTTCCCAAAGCCCCTACCCTCTTCCCTCTTCCTTTTCCCGGGTTTTTCTTTGTATTTCTCATCTGTCTTTCGTTTGGTATTTTGGGATGTGGGTCGTATGGGTGCGCATCGATATTTGAGAAGGGTGCTTTATAATATTTTGCTTGAAACAAGCAAGTACAGTCTTCCGCACAAAAATCGTCAAGCAATTGTGTAATGTTTTCAAGAGTATTCAGTTCTTGTAGTAGGTGACAGGTCAAGGGTGAAGTGGACTTGGATGGTACTCATTGCAAATGTAATCGAAGTGCTTGTAATCGGTTAGATTTTTTGTGTAATATCGTGATAATTTCATTGCTTTTATTAGGAGGTAAATCGCAAAAGTAATCCGCTTACTTTTGAAAGTACTTACATAACTTGTAACAGTTACTTTTTTCGCCTCCCTTTTCTAATGGCACCCTTTGTTCGCACAAATTTCCTGGAGGAATCCTCGAAACTCGAACCGAATCTCCGACAAGGGGATGGTTTACCAATATTGGTGGATTAAGAAGATAAGTAGTTCATAATTCGGTAGTTCTAATCCGATAATAAACAAAACAAAGTACCGGTTTTCAAACCTGCAGAAAACTCTGTCGTTTTGAAAATCTGATCTAATCTGAGAAGTAACGGTTACTTTTTCAAGTAACGGTACTTTTATTTTCAATTAATCAAGTAATCTAATTGAGTACTCTTTTAGCAAGAGTAATTGTAGTTGTAAACGATATTTGTTTTCGAGTAACGTGTGCATGAATGCAGTCTCATCTTTTTCCACTTTAGCAGTGAGAACGCTGGAAAGGAGGTTGCCTTCTCTCCAGCCTTCGCTCTGCTAGCCTGAAAAGAAGTGGGAGGAACTTCCACTTCGTTCTTAACCTGCGACTATAACTACAGCATCTAAGCAAACGCTTTGAAGGCACTTTAGAAGACCCGCACCAGTCGGCTTCTCAACGTATCGCGCTGCAATTTACTACAGAGGTGCAGGCAGGTGGTGGAAGTTTACGATGAAAACAAATCAAGGAATTAACTTACCTCGTTCAGAAGAAATAAAACAGAAATAAATCTGTTTCGGGCATTCTACGCCGTCAATTCGCCGACGATGCACGTGTAGTGAGAAGTGTTGCCGACAGATGGCGTACGCCACGCCGAGGGAGCGCCAGCCGATTTGGGTTGCGGGATGCGTGCTATTATAACCCGAACCGGCCTGAGTTCCCTCGACGCGGCGTACGCCATCTTTCGGCAGCACTTATCACCAGTGGCGGATTCAGGGAGGGGGGTCCGGATGTCCTGAGATGCCTCTTACATTCTGCATGTAAACATTTAGGACGGGGAAACGGGTGAGGAGGGGGCTCTTAAAGGGCTGCTCCACAGGCTTTTCGAGCTACCTCAACTAACTATATTTTGTGAATCCCCGGCATTTACGCTTTCCGGTATGCAATTCAGCATCGCGGAATTCATAATAGTTATTGTGAAATCGGCAAATGAAAATGATGCAAAAACCAACGTTCAGATATACTTGCACTTTTTAGTGCCGTGACGTCTGTGGCCGGCAGGCTTGCTAGTTGAGTAAGCAGTCTAAAAAATAGAATATTCCAATCATTTGTTCTGTGCTGGAGCGCGGGTACTGGACCGAGCTTCCAAAGTACTCATTTGACACAATGAAACTGCTTGGAATCAGTTGGGAACAAATTCTACAGTCCAAAGAGTGAACCCCTGCCTTCCACTGACGTCACTTTTTCGTTGTTGCCAGTAGGGACTTCCAGTTTGAAAAACACGGTGAAGACCAAAACTGTAAGTTCAATAGCATCGCGAACATACAATATTTTGACCTAATATTTGGGATATTACTTTAGCGGTGTTTGTTGGTGAGTTTAGCAAAATTTCAAACAAATCGGGGACGATGAAAAGACCTGTAGAGTACACCTTTAAACATATGATACGCTCACTCCCCACCACCATTTCCGCCCCTGCCTCTGCCCTTGCTTCTCGTAACGCGGGCATCGTCTGCGAAGTGGCGGCGCAGAATACCCAAAACAAAATTCTCTTGTCCCCCCCCCCCCCCCCCCCTCCGCTCTTTTTTTTTTTTTTTTTTTGAGCAAGGTAGGTATTTTTTTATTTGTTTTCATTGTAAACTCCAACCGCCTGCTTTCACTTCTGTAGTAAATCGCAGCACGATGCGTTGAAAAACCGATGGTTGTGTGCTGTCTAAAGTGCCTAAAAAGCGTTTGGTTACATGCCGCACTTTCCAACGAAGCATTAGTAGCATCAGTAGGAACTTTTCGTAGATCGTAATCTACAGATTGCTGGCCATGCCAGCAAGTGCTCAACCATAGCCTCCTCTATTCTCACAAAGCCTGGCAGTTCGACGACGGAGCCATAGAGTGCACGGTCACAGATTTGGAGCGCAAGGATCTGGTAGCAGAGAGCATTTCTCGGGGGACCTGGTATTCAGCGCACAGCTTTTTGCAGCGGCGAGGACCCGAAAAATGGTTTTCAAACCCGACGAGAAAAGGAGCGCTAGCGCGAGGAACGCGAGGAGCACGAGCGGACACTCCATCGCTCGGGAGAAGTGTGTTTCGGCGTCTCGCCGCAGCGGGGCGCCCGTTACATGACTCTCCTCTTATCCGTTGTCTGCCGCTCTACCTTGTCACTTCCGGCGGCCGCGTCTTGTGGCGATCTGTCAGGCTTGGTCAGTATAGAGGAGGCCATTGCTCAACACGACGTTAAGGTGACAGGATGAGCTCCTGCTAGTAACACTAAGCTCTTGCGTACGATCTACAAGAAGGTCCTAATGACTGCTTATTACGGAGGCAGCTATAGAGTTTGCGATGTGACATCGAGCAGGGCTTTTCGCGTCTCGTCAGGCTCAGTGTCGCACGGTAGGGTTCAGTTTCAGCTCTCAACATATCTTCAGCCTCGTCCTGGATCGCGGTCGGTGTGCCCTTTGAGTGCTTGGCGGGAAATTACACGCGCGGGCATTTTAAAGAATGTACATCTGGTAGTCCGTGCTGTCAAATCTAGAACGCGTCATATTGAATACACAATATCAGGAGTTGGCGCACTGCCGTGTGAGCTAGTATCTTATTAAATTTTACTCAACGAAAACGCTTTTTCCGTTAATGTTTGTAATTCAAGCTTCATTACTTTGATCACATGACAATTGCCGTGGAAATTTAATTGAATGTGAATGTATTACGAACTTATATAAAGTTAGCAATGCAACTAAAAAGCATCCGACGCCTCTAAACCATCAGCCAGCAGCTAATGTCTCCTTTCATTTATTTTTTCCTCGGTTTTTAAAGGGAAGCTGGAGAGGTTCTTGAAGAAAAACGAGTTGGAGGTGAATTCTAGAGTAGTTTTATCCCGTGAATCTGAATATCACGTTCGTTTCTCCCGAAAATGCAACTAAAGGCGAGAAAACACGAAAAACCTCCGACCAGTCATTACGTCATAAAATGATTTTTCGACCGCCAAGCGCGCGTCACTCGTGTGGGAAGCACGTGCAGTTAAAAGCTTGTCAGGTACATTCCCCCGCATTGACACCAGTCGCGACGACTTTCTTTTTTTTTATATTTTTTTACGGAGATTATGGAAATTTTTTTTTTTATGGCGGAATGAATGCTCACGGGAAGGAGGGGCTTCAGCGGTATATTTGCAAATAATTTTCTCCAGCCTCCGCGCACCAAATTGAAAAATAATCTCGATATTCGTTACCCTGAAGGCCAAATGAAGACGATCTAAATGTTTGTACTAAAATACAAAACCGCTTCATTTCCCCTTCAAGAGGAAGTTATGTAATTAAGTAGGCGCCCTAAGCGTCATTTCGCTATAGTACGTGTTCAGAATATTAGATTATGCCTTTTTAACGTAGAGCGCGCAAATTTCGCACTGCCTACTTCTTTTTTTAATCCTTGTCCTTCGTTCAGTAACACTTATTAGGATCAAAGAGCACTCTGTTCAAAATAACAATGGCGAAGGCTATATGTCTTCTTACTCCTGAATTCACAATAAACAATCTAGGAAAAAAGTGTATGATGCTAGCTGGATATAAAACAAGATGTGAACACGCCGCGTGTTGTCGATCCATCAACTTCAGCACAAGGTTCACGTAAATGCTGCAAGAGAGATAAAACCTTGGCCCCTGCTTCCAATCTTTAGATTCGGAGGGTGAAATCAAACACCGGCGTATCTCCCGCCTCTTGCAGCTTCCACTTCTTACTATCACGTTCCTAAGCACACAGATACGGAGGCAGGCGCTGTAGTATAGACTTAAGGCAGACGACCTCCAAGTGACCGCGCTCTTGCTACCCTAAGCAATATATTGACTCCTGTTGTTTCCTCGCATTTCATAGTGACCATATGGACCTGATAGAACAGCGAACCCTTGTGCGAAGTCCATGTTTTTCTTTAAACTTTTTTTCTAAGAGTCGCGGGTGTGCCAGCGAGATGATGCAAGGCTCATTGCTCTTACTTTTTCTAGCCAGTCTGGGATCCACAAGCTCAAGACGCTACACTCCGGACTGGAAGTCCCTGGACACGCGTCCTTCGCCAAGCTGGTTCGATGAAGCCAAGGTCGGCATCTTCCTCCACTGGGGAGTGTTCTCGGTGCCCAGCTTTAAAAGCGAGTGGTTCTGGTCCGAATGGAGCGATAAAGATCCGAAGGTCGTGGAGTTCATGAGACAGAACTACAAGCCCAACTTTACCTACCCGGAGTTTGCGCCCGAGTTCACGGCGCAGTTCTTCGACCCGGACCGTTGGGCGGACCTCTTCTACAAGTCCGGTGCTCGTTACGTGGTGCTGACCAGCAAGCATCATGAAGGTTACACGCTCTGGCCTTCAAGCGTGTCCTGGAACTGGAACGCCGGAGACGTGGGACCCAAGAGGGACCTGGTTGGAGACCTCGCCACGGCCATCAGGAAGAAAGGAGGCGGTGTGCACTTCGGGCTGTACCACTCGCTCTACGAGTGGTTCAATCCGTTGTACCTGGCAGACAAGGCTGCCCGCTGGACGACGAACGACTTTGTCGTCCGAAAGACCATGCCCGAGTTGAGGGAAATTGTCGAAAGGTAAGCCGTGACCATCACATACTTCTTTCTGCCTTACTGTATGGAAATCCGACCTAGTTTAATGTTGGACTCTTTCCAAGAGCGCGTGCCATCTGGTAGCTGCTGCGCCAGTCATTTGAGTCGGCCGTTACCTAGACACGTACTCAGAGTACGTACTAAACTGGATGGTTCGGCGATGACTCGCATCCAATCACACGCTTCACGGCCAAAAAAAATGAAAACCGGCAATGTTGCTTGACGGACTTTTGAAAATGGTCTATTGTACCTGATTTCGTATACATGTAAGGTGAGTGACAGCTTAAAAAACGCACTGCGGAAATTATTATGAGCACACTTCTTGCTTCGTTCTTCGGCGTTCTTGTCGACTGATGCGTTCTTGTCGAATAATAAGACGCCGGAGACTCGCTGGCACCAACCAGAGCCGTATATGTAGAGAGTTTGGCCATTTGTTGCGAAGACGGATGAGGAGGCGGCATTGGTCGAAAGCGAACTGGGCGTGTTCCAGGGCGTCTTCAGAAATTCGGATGTGACCAACCAGAAGCCGGAAATAATACCCTGGCGGTGGTCGGGAGAAACAAACCTGATAACTGCATTGGAGTAACTCTCGATGGCTGAAAATATGGTACACGTGATATTTCAATCACGCTCATCCGAAATGATGGTGGAAGAGCGCGACTAGCGGAACGATCGATATAATCCGTACGCCAAGCGCCGAAAGCCAGGAATCTGCCGTCCGAGCGGTCACACTCTGTCCGCGCAAAACAGAGTTGAGCGGCGCATTCGTTTCTTACATCTTTCTGCATGATCATGATCAAAATAACACGTGAACCCTATTTTCAACCACAAAGAGTTACTACACCTCACTCTTACGCGCTTATTAAAACCCTATACGAACATAGACCTCTGATCAGAACTGTTTCTCGCTACCACTGCTAGGGGATTCTTTTCGGCTTCTAGTTGGTCAAGAGAGCATGCCAAGCCCTCTTTCCGAGTCTGCCGCACGCCCTGGCTCTGCCCGCGCCTCCCATTGACCAAACTCTCTGCCTATACGGCTCTGGCACCAACTATAGACGCTTGTAAACAGCCGCGCTTCGAGAGCTGGTCTGGCCACCGTGGATGGGAAAACGCTTCGTTTGTGCGCTAGTCTGGGAACCTTGGGTACGTCTCAGCAATTGACCCCGTAATTGTGACCTCACCGATCCAAACAAACCGTTGCTACGGGCATTGTTATGGTCGAATTCATGGGACTGGATTTCGCTCCGAAAGAACAGTCGGTCAAGAATCAGACGTGGAATTTGAACGTCTCGAAAGAATAGATATGGGAAGCCCAGATTTCACACTTACCACGACAGGTGTTTGCCGAGAATCGGCTGTTTCTGAAATATCTGTGACAACAACTTGCGGTCCTCAAGACGTCTCAAGATGTCTGCTGCAGACTACGAACGCATGATGAACGCGCACGGAATGACTGAAGTATTACTACTGCAACAGTTTTAGTCGTTTGCACAATGGTACGATTTTGACTTTGTATTTATTTGGAGCCTGGCAAGCCTAAGACAACTCATCAGGTTTATATATACGAATTGTATTTGCGTGCGATATGGGATACTGTCTGACGAAAATCATCACACGCATGGAGATATGCTAAAAATACAGCGAGAAAAGCATCTGTTTAGAACATAATATCAAAGCAGCGTCGGGCCCTCTTTTTGAATTTGCAGTTGACGTGCATTGCAATGAAGAATTGTTTTAACTGTAACATGAGCGGCTCGAGACCCCAAAGTTCGTTCTTCAGGCTCGTGTGTCTTGTACTTGCTTGTGATCATCACACTGAGGAAAAATCCAACTCATTCTTTAGTTTTAAGTAAGACCTCAAATAACGAAGGAGCTGTATATCGCATCCAGCAAGTTATATATCTACGTTACGGGCAGTTCGTTTGATCCCACAAATGTGCAGCGAAGCAACTTCTGTGCTATCAGAATTCCTTGAAACGTGTGCTGGCCTGCACATAGACATTGATATACTTCACGTCGTCGTCGTACGTGATCCGGCTTCACAGTGTTTTCACCTAAAATATTGCGGAAGCAAGCTTCATGGGAAGGCGTTTGCGCGCTGGCGCACCTCGAGCGTCGATCAAAGCTGCGCACTGGCACTCTTCGCTTCCCAAATCCCACAGGAAGTTGATCCCGAGTATAGAAGATTCGTTGATCGTCATTAACTTCATTCAATGCAATCGCGCACTAACTCAGAAAGAACCACTGAACCCACCAAGCCATTGTGTCATCTGCTAGCAAGGCAAAACCGGTTGGGAAACTTTATTACGGGCTTTTGTTGCCGCTTTATAGTACTGCAGCGATAGAAAATGTCTTCAAGATTTGATATTGAGAGAACACAATGCTTACAAAAAAAATGTATATATATATATTTACTTTTTTCTCTGCTAATTCCTAACCTCACGTCGAGCCCCCATGTATTTGTCTATAACAACGTCCCTAGCAAAGGTTCGTTGCTAGGGGCTTTTTTCTCCAAGAAAAGCAAAAGGAAAGCAACCAAAAATTCACATAGAAGGCGCGAACTGCATCCGGAGGTGCACTAAAAGCCCGTTTAGTGGAAACTTCGACGGACAGGCACGAGTCGAAAGTCTCCACCTAACGCACCCAATGCTTGATTATCAGACGATCTATCCACACCGCAGCAAGATGGCGACGCCCAGAAGCCGTAGTTGCAAACGTAGAAAGGTGTGTATCCATGGATCACGCTAAAGTGGACGTGTTGTGTGGAACATCAAAAACGATGATTGAACTGTCCGAGGACGACCTCGGTATTCGCGACTCCAGCGACCTATAGGGGGCACCCCTATCGGGCAAATACGGCGGTAATATGGTGGTCTAAAACAGGTCGTGCTGTGCCAAGTGCCAGCTCAACGCACAACGCTGGGGTATCAGCAAGCAAACGTTGGACCCAAAATGGTTGGCCCCGATTTTTAACCTCCACGTTTCGAACTTGCGGCGACCTGTCGGCGTAAGCGAGCCCCCGATGCTTGAGTTTCTTCGAGGTCTCGTTCACGCGCTTGCGTGGGTTGCGTACAGAGCATCCTGGAAACAAGCTGATACGACAGTGACGACAGAGTTACAGGGACAACTTTTCCATCGCGCAGCCACCCACAACATGCAATCACGGGAGCTACAGAAGACGAGCACAAATCGCGAAAGAACCTGTTCCGGTCAGTTCGGTGTTTTCCCGCTGGGTGCGGTCCGGTTTGCTGGAGTCGCGAATGAAGTGAGCGAATGCGAGTAGGTATACAAATCTCTGAATGCGGATCAGCTGAAGTCTAGACACAGAAGACGCTACACGGTTATGTAACCAACCAAGCAACGTGAAAAGTGCGAGTCACTGGGCTTTTTCTATTTACGATTGGTACAGCAATGATAGAACACGTAGAGAAACATGATGAACGCAACACCATGATGGTGCGCTTTTTATGCTGTCCGATTGATACCATCAGCTCGTAGCGTCAGCTACGTCTGGGTTTAAGGTGAAACGAAGTAGTTTTCTTGTAAAAATATTCGAAGATCAAACTTTCGAGCTTGGTTGGGCGTACTTGCAAATCTGTTGCACTGGAGGTTTAGAGGCGTTTCCCCTGAAGGAGGGAGAATTTAATCATTGCCTTCTACTAAGCTGCCACTGCTGACCTGCATCACGCGCTACACATAGTACATACGCATACCGGTACAGTGTAAAGTTTTTACGTAAGAGTTTCCTACAAGCAGCGACACTCATTAAAGCGCCGACTGCGTGGCGATGCAGGTTTTAGGAAGTGAATGGTGGCGCACAGCAGAAGACTGAACTGAATGACACCATTTTGTTCCAGTGGAATGTTTTTTTGTCATTTATATCGGTTGTCGTTACTTGCAAAAGGAAGTATCAAGGGACTTTAATACAATGCATTGTTCATGTCTAAGTCAATGGGAGCGAAAATCAGTCTTAATATGGCAGTCTGCATGCCGAGCCTTCGCTCTACATTGGGGGGGGGGGGGGGGGGGGGGGGGGGGGTTGATTTACCGTACATCAACGCACTCAGTCATCAAACCTTCTAACTTGTTCTTTATAAACTCATGTAACAAGAATAGGTCAATTTTATGGTTACCTTACTTTACATGTTAGTTATCCTGAAAAAAAAATTGTTAATAACATAGTGTGACTTAAATTATCAATTATACACTCTAAAAAAGTTAACAGTTGAATTTTCCTGTCTAAGAGGACTAAATCACCGCAAACAACTGCAGGATCGCAGCGAATGACGAAGCTAAGAATACCATAAGACTTCAAAAACGCGGTTTACACAGGGAGAACAAGCATGGCGTTTCAATATCTTATTGTCCCTGCGTCTATCGGATTTTACAGGTCTAATGCTATATTTTAGCACCATTTGCCTGGGATACTCCCGTTCTTCGCACGACTGGATACATCTATGTGTTCTTCGGGAAAGGCAACACAAGGGCTTTTTTGGGTTTCTTAGAGTGTATTTTGCTGACATTTTTCTCGACTCTATTAGATGGTGTGCCTAAAACTTCAGCAACTACGAAACGAAAACGCACTATTGCCCGAATAATGGCTCTGGATACAATGCCTTAAACCTCAGACCGTCAGCAAAGTAACATCGTTTTTTGTGTAAGTGATGAGTACCACGAAACGCTTTGAAAATAAGGAACGCACCAAGTACTAGCACGCACGCAGGTACGCTCGAGCATGAACACCCCTGAATTTTCCTCGGAGCAGTTCAATTCATCCACGAGCCGACGGCTCCCATTGATTCCTTGAAGGAAGCATGAATTCTCCGTCCGCGTAGTTAAACTTCTTTCATTAAACGTCACGCGAAAAACGACTTGGAGTTTAAAAACTTCCTGTTGATGTTTCTCTGGGGAATTTTGGAATCAATGACGATTTGGTAACCGTGACTTTTCCTCAACATTGTTGAATTGCCTCATCGAGAGAAACG